GCTCCCAGTCCTGGTGAGCCAGTGTCCGAACTTGACAAGCCTGCCCGCCTCTCCACCGGCGTCCACCTGCCGGGGTGCGGGGCCTGGAGGGGTGCGGAGCACAGTGCCCTGCGGCGCCCGAAGGATGCGCAGTACTGGACCAGACAGTTTCATTAATAAAGGATCGCTTGCAGGTTCCTTTGCAGATGTGTCGGCTGGTATTCCTTTCCCTTCGCTGAGGAACTTTTGTTTCAAAGTTCGTGAGACTACTGCAGTCTAGACACATAATTTGCACTTTTAGTATTTGCTGACTTTTCTGTTTTAACCTGTTAGAACGTCTGCATTTTGGGGTCTTTAAAACTCTTCTTCCTCTTAGAGCGGACATGGCTCTAGGATTATGAGGCCATTTCGGGGAGAAGCTCCTCTCTGGCTGGACCACTTGGCTAACATTCCTTTTCTCCTTTGCTGCTACAGCTTCTCCGTCTCTCGGGCTTTGAAAGCACAGCATTTAAAACTCATCTCAGCCCTGAGATCTTTTCCTTCTCACAGCTCTTTGAGTGAATGAATAAACAAACTGTATCATGTAGGTTGGTTGGTCTGTTCCACAAAGCACATTGTTTATCTTTGGGGATTAATAGACTGTTGAAACAATCATGCCAGGCTACGGATCAGATTTAATAAATAATTAGTAAAACGCTACTCCTTGTTCAGAGGAGTGAGGCAAGATGTTCCGGGGGACGGAATTGGCTTACTCACCACCACCACACCCCCCGCCTCCCACTTGCAGTTTCCAAACTAGGCGCCTGCACCCTGCTGGTACTCCCACTATTACTCCCCGGGATAGCAGCTGCCCTGATTGGCACACCCCGCTGTCATCACCACCCAGGCATAAAGTTTCCAGTGTGAATTGTTTGAAAGAACACAGGTGTTAATCTTCAGATACCTGAAACAACAATGTTTTGGTTCTTCAAAATCTGGTTGTCAACAAATTTACTACTGAATCCCTCCTACCTGGTCGGTTCCCTGGGAGCCATAGAAGACTTGCTACTGCATAAGGAACTGTAGAAAATAATATAAAACTTTAATATGCAGCAAATTGCGTGATAAGTGCTCTGGCTCATGAGACGAGAAAATCAACAGGGGTGGGAGCATCCCGGACTGCTCTCTGGGAAAGGGGCAGGGGCGTGTCCATTCCGCTCACCTACCTGGCTGTGCCTGCTGGAGAACAGGTGCTTCAAAAATATGATTGGATTGAGTTTGTGTTGTATCTTGAGTGTACTTTAAGGACTGATTAAAGATTTGGTTGCGAAAATGAAAGGGGCTGCTAAGAGGGGACAGCTGCCCAAGTTGTCACTTAAACACAAATGAGCGAAAAGTGTATTGGGAGGACATGCGGTTCAGATGATCCATTTACTGTATTTTTATGTTTGTAGGAGTGGTTGGAAGAATAATGCATGTAAGTCTTTGACATCATGATGTACATCCGGCAAAGAAAAGAGGTAAAAACCGCCACTGCCACCGAGGTTTCTGAGGATTTTCCAGCACAAGAAGAAAATGGGAAGTTAGAAAATAAATTGCCATCTGGTAGGTGATTTAAACTGAAGCAGCGTTTGGGATTGCTTTTATTTCTGCATAATAAAAGAATCATTCTCCAATAGGGTTAAAATTGAGTGAGACTTAACAGTTGAGGAAACTTGTGCCGGCGCCCTGATATTCTGATTGCAATTTGATTATGTTGGTTTCACAATTTCAATTAGATAAAGGAGCTTTGATTAGAACACTGTCAGTTGTTCATTACTAACTTAAGGTTATGCCAGTCTAATTCTTTTTCTCCCTAGAGTAATATTTTTCCTCACCATTCATATTTTAGTCCAATTTTTGTTTTGTTTTGTTTTTTGATACTGGGGATTGAACTCAGGTTGTTTTCTTTATTTTCAGTCAAATCACTGAAATGTTTTCCTTTGCTTTTTATGGGGGGGCAGGAAAAGTGATCAAAACTTGGTAAATTGTTTATATAATGCTAAAGACTTGCTAAATGACATATCAGATGGCATTAATTGCCAGCTTTTTGTTTTCTGAATTGCTTTCCTAAGTATGGTCAGGATCTTTAAGCATGAAAAATTCCAAGCTTATTAGCCATTTTGGATATCTAACAGGATTTACAGTCTTTGCAGACCTGCTGATTCTTACCAGCCATAGCTAAGGAAGCAGTTTAATTTTTTTAAAAAAAGAGAGAGAGAAATCCAGGCATGGTGGTGCATACCTGTAATCCTAGCATTCGGAGGCTGAGGCAGGAAAATTGCCACGAGTTCATGGCCAGCCTGGACTACAGAGTGAGTTCAAGGCCAGTCTGAGCTACATAGCAAGACCCTGTCTCAAAAAAAAAAAAAAAAATCTTGTTTTAGGAGGTTATGCCACTTAAACTCAGCTAATAGCAACTAATTTAGACAATGCATAGTAGTTTTTTAATACAATGCTAATTCGATTGTTTCTTTAAAAAAAAAAAACGTAATTTGGGTGATTGTTCATTTACCAAAGCAGTATTTATCATATCAGAAAAAAAAACCCTGAAAACTAAAGAAAATTTTAAAAAAAAAGAAAAGGGCTGGGAATTTAGCTCAGTGGCACCATGCCTGTCTCATAAGTGCAAGGTCCTTGTACTTATGTCGATCTCTGGTACCAAAAAAAAAAAAAAAAAAAAAAAAAGGAAGAGAAAGAAAAAATGTTCCCTCGAATATCCATCCTAAGGCTACCACAGATGACTGAACTAATCTTTCTGTGTCTGTGTAATTCTCCAAATGTGTGTACTCCCCACCAGCATTCATATGTAGTTTTACAAAATTAAGACCTATGTGTTGGCTTATGAGTTACTATTTTTCTCTTACGTTATGAATATAAGTCAGTTGATATATATATATTAAAAATATTGTTACTCAACTCCGGGGGGCCCAACAGACCAGGCTCGCCACTCTCCCCAAAATGCCAGTCAAAGAGAACAGCAGTGATGAAGGGCAGGAAAGAGCCTTAGTCAGCATGGCCTTGCTAGGAAGCACAGATAGAGGCTCAAGATCTATCTTAGAGGTTTGGGGTTTTATAGGAAAAAAGGGAACAAAGGCAGGGGCTAAGGGTTTGCAGAACTAGGGGCTTTGCTCACAGTTTAAGCTGTCCTGGTCCAGTCCTGATCTGGTTGATGGTCCCTTAGGATTTGGTTATCTGAAGTCCTGGGAGAGACAGCATTGCTATCAGTTTCCCTCATGGACTGACAGCTCCTTCATTTCCTGTCATGTGGTAACTGCTCCTGCTAGGATGTGGGCGGGTCTTTGGGGTTCTGCTTTTCCTGGATCTGAAGTGGCTACAAGTTTAGGACAGTGACTCTTGAGACTTCTAGGGACTGCTCAAGCTTTTAGGAACTGAATGTTGTAACAGCTGGCACTTAAATGTCCCTGCCAATCCTGAAAGTTACTTTAATTAGTCTTATCTTGGTGACCTTATTGTTGAAGGGGGATGAGATAGGCTGGGTAGATCTAAGGTTAACAGACCTCATAATCCATTCCCTGAGTGATTAGCATACCTATGTGCAAACAGGAGCAGGGATCTGTCCCACAGTTTTAAGGTAATGAGGAAGACAGATAAAATGAAGACAGATGCCAGGCTTTGTGCTGCTTTTAGTTACCAGTTGAGACTGCAGACCTTGCCTCTAAGTCCCTGTTCCATTGTTGGTATATAATATTACCTGGTGTGGCTATAGCATATTTTAACTAATTCCTTCTGGAAGACCAGATGCTTTTCTAACCTTCTAATACAAATTGAACTGTGATAAATACCCTTGTGACCAAATGTTTGTTTAAAACTTTAATTATTTCTTTGGGTTATATGCTTAGACATGGAATTAACAATCAGATGGTACACTCATTTTGGTGGCTTTTACTCACGTTGCCAGGTTGCATTTCAAAGAGGTCTCAATTTATTTTTCTACCATCAGAATTTAAAGATGTCAAATACCCTTTCTAAAATAGAGTACTAATATTTTTAAGCTGTCAAATTAGCCAAGATTTTACAAGTACAACTCATTGTTTTGAAACGCTTTTTTTTTTTTTCTTTTTGGTAGCACTGGTAATTTTGAATGAATTTGAACGTTATTTCTTCTGTTACATTTATTAGCCATTTTTCTTTTGTACATTGCCTATTTATGTCCTTATAACCTGTTTCCTATTGGACTATTCATCATTGTTTATTATCTTGAAAGTATCTATGGTATTTAAGCTTTCTTATGTATGCTGTAAATATTTTTTTAGCTTGTACATATATCCTTTTAGTTATATGTTATTTTTCCTATGAGATTTTTAAGTAATCAAGGTTTTGGTAGCTTTTAATGAACAAACCACAAATTATCAGTAGATTAAAAGATTGTTCACATTTTAGACTTATAACCCATTTCTTCCTCTATTTAGCAAACTTCATAAAGTCTAGTTGTTCAGTTATGCCTGGATATTAAAGGTGAATATGACAATGTACTTATCCTTGAGGAGATCACTTTCTGGTTGTCAAAATGAACAAGTGAAGAGTTAGGAACATTGGAGTAAAAATTTATAAGAGCTGAAAACAAGGTAAGTATGGTGGCACTTACCTGTAGTCCCAGTTACTCGAGAGGGTAAGACAGGAGGATTGCTTGAGTCCAGGAGTTCATGACCAGTCTGGGTAACATAGCAAGATCCTGTCTCCTGGTGGCTCATGTCTTTAAGTCCAGCACTCTGGGAGGGTAAGGCAAGCAGGCAGGTTTGAGCCCAGATTGAGCAATTTAGCAACTTTGTGAGATCATGACTCAAAATAAAAAAGGAAAAAGGCTGAGGATATAGTTCAGTGAGAAGGACCTGGGTTCAATACCCAGTATGAGAGAGAGAAAAAGAGAAAGAGAAACTGTTTGCCAGGGAACAGGAAATGCTTCACCAGTGACAGGCACCTAGAACTCAGTTTACTTGATAGCCTGAAATTGAACTATGAAATTCTAAAATTTTCACTGTTATTTATATTTCCTTTTTCTCAAAGGTTGTACCAACAGACGATTTTGGAACATCCTGTCATTTACAGTTGGTGGAACCACTGCCCTGGGTATTGGACTCCTTACATCTGTCTACCTTGCCACCTTACATGAGAATGACTTATGGTTTTCTAACATTAAGGTATGGGGTTTCTATGAAGATTGTATGATGTATTCATTGACATCTCCAATAGTTAGCCATGTAGGTGAACCAAGACACAGTTTTGCCACAAAGAATCCAATGTCTGGAAAGATTTAATTCTACAGTTAAAACAAAACAAAAAAACCTTGTGTTTATTATTTTTAAATAATGTGTCAGAATTTTCCATCAGTTTTTTTATCAACTTTTCATTAACCTTTTCATCAACTTCAGTTATTCTACAGTCACTCTAGAATTTTTCAAAGTATCAACTATGAAATTGTTGCTGTAGTTCATAAGTAACATTTTTCTCAATGAAATCAAATAGAAGAGAATACTGTCTATCACATATAGTTGAGAATTGTTTTGTGAACTTTTCACTTTGATTATATATGTGTGTACAAACTGGGTCATAGTAGAAAATGAAGTATTGTTTTGTTTTGCTTTTGTCAGTAGAGAAAAAGAAAGAAAATTGAAGGCTGCTGTTCCAACTGATGGAGTCTCAGTCTGACTCCACAGATGGACTGCACTATGTTCGTTATCTTTCTAGTGTTATTTGCAGTTGGTTTTTTGAGTTGGGGAAGCAATACTTTCTTTGGAGAAAGAAGCCAGAATTTTCATCTGATTTTCAAGAGTCTTAACCCTTTAAATATTTTTTTAAAAATTTTTTTTCTTTCAACATTTCTAGAATTTATTTTGGCAGTGTTTGCAGAACAAGTATATAAGTTCACAGAAGCAAGCTTGTACATTGCCAGTGTTTTGATCTAAATATGTTTTTTTAATCTAATATATCAAGATCTTTGATCTTACTATCCATGACTTATACTTACTGCTTGTGAAGGTAAATACTTGCCTTCAAAACTGAAAATTATCATATTCAAAAGAATTTGGCATTTCCCAAAGGGAAGTTTTATTTTGCTTTTTGGGGTAATAAGGGTGAAACACAGGGTCTTCACACTGAGCTGCATCTCCAGTCTTCCTACCCTTCCTTTTTTCCCTTCCTTCCCTATGTCTGTCCCTCTCTTTCTTCCTTGCAACAGTCTAACTAAATTGCCCATGTTGGGCTTGAACTTGTGATCCTCCTGCCTCAGCCTCTCAGTGTTTAGAGTATAGGTGTGTACCACCCCCAAAGAGAGTTTTCTAAAGTATTTTGAGGTTTAGACCAAATTTTGAGAATGAGTCCCCAATTGAGACTCCTTTGAATGACAAATCTAAATAACTTCTATTATGCTTATTTTAAAAACATGACGTATTACTTCATAAGTACAGCACATATTTGTATAGATATCTTCATACACATTATCATGGTAACAAAGAATAATAATTCTTATCCTTCAGGAACATTTGGTGGGATTTTATGCCAAGAAAACTTTTACTCATCTCTTTTTACAATGGAGCACTTATAAATAGATTCCCTAGAATTAATCAATGTATGTTATTAACATATTTTGAATAAAGGCTGAAATATCCCAATGTGGACATCTAGCTAAAATTAAATGTTAGTAACAGTGTAGCAAGGAGAAGTATTGAAAGAGATCATATAATTTAATTATAAACTGTAAGTTTAGCTCTTTAAAACTTATAAGTAGCCTTTCTAGTATCCTCAAATAGGGATACATCATCATCAAGAAACCTCAGCATCATTGGGGTTTTTTTTTTTTTTGAGTTTTTTTCTTTTTTTTTTACTTTCGCTGGATTAAGAAAATCATTATACTTTTACCCAGTATTTATTGAGCACCTGTTGTTGGGTAACATTGAATTCAACTCTGCAGGGGACATGGAAGGAATAACAAACCCTTCTGAACTTGCCAACATATTTTCTAGTATAACAGATGAATTCAGAACATGTATTTGAAGCAGCAGGCCAGCAGAATGCCAGCAGGCACTGTGCACATGGTAGCAATACCACTAAATAAGACATACTGCTGTTCCCAAGGACCCACCCTCTTGATAAGGACACAAACAGATATCCAGGCAGTTCTAGGACATCCAAGTCAGCACTGTGATGGGGTGAGGGAGAGTACTGTGGGAGTAGTAGGAAGGGAGCCTAACCTACTGGAGCAATCAGGGAAGCTTTCCTAGAGGAAGCCATGGTTGAGGCCTGCAGGATGAGTTAATGAGGCCCACTAGGGAAGAGAGGTAAGTGTCATAGGAGAGGGACATGTACTGGAAATAAAAAAGCAAGGGTGCCTGGGGCATTGAATGTATTGGTACCAGTGCTGGAGAAGGGACTCAGAGTGGAAATAGGCCAGATCATGAAGGTCCTTTGTTCCACGTCTCAGAGATAGAGCTCTCTGTGAGTATAGTACAGAACCCTGTTTTCAATGGGGCAATGTTTGGGTTTTAAAAAAGATAGCACAGGCTGTAGTGTGGGGAACGGGTTTGAGAAGGGAAAAGCTAAAGTCAGAGAAAACCACTGCGATAACACAGTTCAGTAGATTCAGTAAGATGTGAACATCCAACTAAGATATTCAGTAAGTGATTCTTTTCTGTGTGCCACGCACTCCCTTAAGCCCTGGGAATATGACACTGAATATGATAATGGAATTTTATTCTGATGAGGAAAAAATAACAGAAACAAAACAAAATTTTAGTAAAATCAAACAGGATGATGACATAGTCATTAGAGTGCCACTCGGAATTGGAGAGTAAAACAGACTGCTTTGAGGACAAACCATGTATACCAAGGCCTAAATGCTAAGAAGGCATCAGCCAGGCTAATCTATCTCTGAGAACAGTCAGAGCAGAAGAAACAGCAAATCCAAAGGCTCTGAGGTAGGAATGAACTTGGCAAGTTAAAAATGGGAGCGTAAGCACATTTAGCCAGAATTTTATGAGCAATGACAAGAAGGGTGCGAGATAGGGGAACGTCAGCAACATTGTATGCTGGAAGGAACTGGAGAGAGGTGGACAGAGTTAGAGCTTATAGGAAGCAGACTTGGATAGATGTGTTGATGCCCTGTTTTTGTGGAAGATGAATGACAAGAACGACAGTGACCACCTGCTTTGTCCCATGAGCTGTTGGGTAGATGGAAGCACATGCCATTCACTGTGACAGTGAACTTACGGGAGGAGCAGTTCTGGAGGGCACAGTGACATTTGACCTCACAAAATTCCCAGCTTGAGGGTACAGTTTTCCATAAGACTGCCTTCATTTCAGATACCATTTTCAAGTCTAGGAGTCCCCAGGTGACCCTCACTTCTAAACAGCTGACTTCAAAGACTGAAGTTCCCAGGTTCAGCAGTTCACTAGCACAACTTGTCACTGGCAAGCACGGACCTTTCCTTTAGTGACAATGGAAATTAAAACTGAAGCAATGGTGTAATTTACAAGCAAAAGCAATAATTAATAAGAGAAAATGGTAAGGTCTTTAGCTTAGATATCTGACAGAACAAGCAGGCCCCTTAACAAAGGGAAATGGGAGAAAATAGGGAAAGGACTCTGGTACAGATAGCTGGAGGGGGCACACTGATGAAGAGGACCAAACTGGCCCATTCACAAAAGAATGGAGGCCACTTTGATGGGGTGCCGTCTTGGGCTGACATCTGATCAGTCATCTCAGTCCTGGTTTCGTAGCTTGAAAGAGTCCTCATGATCTGAGGGGCAGTTTAGTTTCTGTGAGATAACTGTCTCTGAAGCAGTCTCCCTCATGAGAGGCTCTGCTCTGTTGGAATCCAGGATGACTCTTGGCTTAGAGCACTGGAAACTGGGCATAGCTGAATGTCCACACAGTTCTTTTATCCTGAGTCATCAGTCCGAAGGGTGAAGAGATAGGCTAGGTGAACTTGGGGCTAATAAACCTTGTTGGCTAACTTTTAGATAGACATTCCCTAAATGACTGAAAAGACCTGTATACAGAGCTGATAAGGACTTGACTCTGAGTTTCACAGAATGATGATCAAGCTTTATACTACTTCTAGTGACCCATAATCGCTAAGTCCAAGTGAAGAATCACCTTTTTTTTTTTTTTTTTTTTT